GTTATTATAAAATGACGGTTCCAAGTATACGACACGTCAATCGTATTCTTATTGACAAGTAATACAAATTGACGCTACGGTTTCAGTTGAAATTCTTTGTCGACGAAATGGGATGGTCACACCGATTGTAACACAAGTTTAGAATTACCTTGGAAAATAAATACAAATGCAATTAGAAAATGTTTCTATTATTTTTTATTGAAGCGACCGTAACTGTGTCCTTCCGAGTAACACTATTTCAAACTATATGGAGGATATCGTTTTCAAAAGATTTTTAGAGACCATCTTGTCATATTATTCATTTCAGAATAATATTTCAACTAATTATACATTCGTTGTATCCAGTCATATTTTTATTCAGTTTTTAAAATAATTATTTAGATAATATAGTGACATAAATAAATATACTAGAATTTAAGAATAAAGTGTGATGTAGAAATGTGTTCTTCATTGAGATGCGCTTCTAGTGCAATTCTGTCGATGTAAGAAATCGATGTTGTCATAGATGGATTTTGTGCTTAGACTGCAAGAATTTGCTTAAAAGTGATCATCCGATAGATGTGCCCAAATTTGCCATCTTTCTCTTTTCTTGATTTCGATTCCACAAAGTGATGACTCACTATTTGTGATGATTAGAATTTTTCGAGCACGACAATTGCCCTTGAAAACGTTGTGGACGTAGAAAATAGCCTTGCTACTCAAATTTTGTTCATCCACAGTAACTTTGATGGCTTTACCAATGAAAATAACATCAGCATATACAAATTGTGTAGACAACTGCAGGCCTCCAACACACGAACAAGCGATTGCAGATTCCAATAGAAGAAATAGTAACAATAGACGACGAACAATAAAAATAATTCGTAACATCATTTCACTGAAAATGAACAAAATCAAGAGTTACAAACTAAAAAGCCTATGAATTAATAAGATATGTAATCGTTGCTGAGGGTGTGGGTGTGGGTGTGGGCGTTGTTTTCTTTATTGTCTCGCCCCCACACACCTACACCCACACACCCACACCCACACCCACCCACACCCACACCCTTAAAACCTGGCTGTTGCTAAGAAATTTCATTAAAATCCAGTTCTGTTTTGTCGAAAATAGGTTGATTTTATGCAGAATCTTTTTATTCATCAGAGAATAAAGACTGTTGAATGTTTGAGTATTTTCTATCGATAATTGCCAAATACCATCTAGGTTGGGTCATATTATCTCTCATATTTTTCCGTCTAACGAAGTTAGAGTTTCTTCCGATGCAGTGGCTAGATTTCTTTGCCAAGTATGCAACTAAATGTTTCCATTCAGGTAACACTATTTTCCACTTGAAACTTCATATCTAGTAAAATACTTTTGCTCAAAAGTCTATTCCTGAGAATCTATCTTTGTCCTTTTTGACTAATATTTCATGGTTTTCGAGTAGAAAAATTGCATTTGGCTTCAGACAAATGTTATATCTAATATTAACACAAAACTGAGCCGATCTCTACGAGTCAGACATGCCGACTGGATTGACTTCATACAAGTACCTATTGAGCTAGGGGCTTTCATGGGTTAGCCCTAAGCCACGCTAGTAGTTTGAGCAGACCATTTATATGATTCCATCTTTGACCTATCCATACAAATTTTTAGGTAGATTTTACGGCTTAATCCTAGAGTCATCCTTGGACTAACCCATTAAATTATCCATACTTCATAAAAATTAGTTAAGAAAAGGTCTATTTGATAGGTAAGTCGTTACAATACGAATTTTGAGTCAAGTTAAACCCATTATCGCTTGGATGAAAGGAATCTTGTCGTCTCTTAATGAACTTTCTACTTGAAAACTAGTTTTTAAAACTGTTACGGAGTGCTTCCGCTCTTTCTTATAGTGGCGTATCCAGGAAATTGCAGGTGGGAAGCGCAGTGCCCACCGTCCTTCAAACTCTCTATACATCAGTGTGAATTTTGTCTTCAGTTTAAATCAATTTTTTCAATCATCTAGTTTCTGGTGAGTAACACAAAACAATATATCTGTTCTTTTATTAAATGAAATTGAATTAACAAAGAGAAGAACAAAAGGGAAATAAACAAAAAGTAACCATTTCAACAGTATTCAACTGTTGTGTATGCTAAATTCAGGAAGCATTAACCATATGCTCATAATTAACAGTAATCTCTGTCTTTTGATGTCTCGTAATGAGAAAGGACTCAGTCTAATATTAAATATACTATTATTTGTAGTCGTTTTGATAGGTTTTCTTTTTTTGGTGAAGACACTAGATGCTCCTTTGAATTCCAATAGAGTTTGCATCATAACGAGATGTATACGGATAGAAAATGAAACATTCAACTTTCTAAAACAGCTTTTCTCGCGTAACCATGGATTTATCTCCGCATCATGGCATGAGAGCCCTCAGTGCTCCCTTCCATCTCCCCCTCCCAACAGTGGACAGTCAGGCGACAAAATAGATTTTCAAGATTTGACTCAATATCATAGCTAGCATTTAAACTATTATGGTGCTGCATTTAAGTGCATTCTCGATACTGCTCTTAATCAGTGTCTGTTAAGCATCAGTACCACAAAGTATATAAAATAGGTGCAGATCACCAACAGGACCATATAAGTAAAATGCATGTTTTAAATTGAGGATCTAATTATCTTCATTAATTATTATATAATTATACAATGATATGTATTTACTATGTATTATAGGTTATTTGGACTGCTTGAAATTCCTTAGGCTATAATAAAATCAAATACATAAACTCAGTATAGTAAAAACAATAAGCACTGATCAATAGTACAGTTATTTCATGAAATTTCCTTGGAACTTCAATTCAAGTTTTTATTTGTTATTTTGTAAAACATGTCATTATCTATTTTCAGTGGATGCTCAAAGATGCGTGTTTAAACTCTTGTTCAGATATAGTGCCTCAAATATAGCCTTCTATCAAAATTTGTTGACGATTTTAATACAGTAACCACGCATGTTCTAGTCCTTCAAGTTTCAAACAGATAAATAAACAGCAAAAGTACACCAAATTTAAGTTTTAGATTGACCATTTCATTTTAAAAACAGTTCTTTGACTCTTTCTTAGGAATTAAATATATGAAAAAAAATCATGCATCGGTTCCCTTGCAGGATCTGCATCCTCGAACATAAATCTTTCCTATCTTTATCTTTTTATGATGTCAAACTTTGTATTAAATTTATTACTGAGTAGAGATATGACATGATAGTTTTATTTCATTTTAATGTACAGATCACACTAATAAAACTCTTATGTCAAATCTTTACTCAGTAATAAATTTGATACAAAGTATGACAGCATAAAAAGATAACGGGAGAAAAGACTTTAGTCCGAGAATGTAAAATAATTTGTTTCATACGTTTTTCGTTCGTAAAAATGCCCCGAGTCGCACGGTCTTCAAGGTTACGCTTGATGCAACTAATGTTAGTAGAAGTAACTAATTTTTGTAGCAAGAGCCAATTAAGATTGCAACGCATACTATAAACATTGAAAAATCAAGATTTTAAACAGAACTTCAGAAAACATCAAATACTGGAGCGTGGGTGGGCGCCTTGTTCCCGCTAGCATCCCATATCCCGATTTTCTGAATTACACTTGAACCCAACAGAATTTGAAATGATTTTAAGAAAACAATTATAAGCCGAATCTGTACTCTTCTTTAGAAAAGAAAGATGAACCGAACCGAACCGAACTCGAACTGGGCTTTACCGGTTCGATTTGATCTTTTCTATCAATACATTCTCTACAATTTTGTATTAGATATTACCATAAAGTCATAATAGATGTAAGTAATTGTTGATAATGGCCCATGTAGGAACCCTTTTATTTCAAACAGGAATTGTTTTTCAAGTAAAGTTTTATTCAAGTTCAAAGGCGCATCCACTTCTCTTCAACTGAATATCTAGAGTTATATAACATGCTAGAAAGACAATGAAAGTTTCAAGGTAATTAGTATGCTTTCCTTGTTGTCGGTGGAAGAGCGGCGCCCTTTCTAACCACCTCATAGATACGTCATTACCTTCTGATTTTTTGGGTACTTTTGAGAACAAGTGAGGTATTTGAAATCGGCGCAGTTGTTCCTACTGAACAATAAAGACTTGCAATAGAACAGTAAAAGCTCTTTTTTAATGCTTTGGGAAGATTCCAGGTGTGGAAAATCGGGTTTTGATAAAATAGAAAATAAAATTATGAAAAATAGACAGGATTCAATGCCGTTTCTGAAAGTAACAAAATTAGGTTAAGCTTTTCGAGGCCTTCGGTCCGTAGGTTGAAATAACTTTTGACGTATTGGGATGTAATTAATGTATGATGATGAACTAATATATCAATAATTATCAACCACATGCTTTACTTTATCTTATTTCACTGTATCTTACTTTTTTCGATAAAGTAAGAGATACTTTACTTTATTTTACTTTTCGGGTAAAGTAACTCTACTTTAGTTTATCGAGTAAAGTAAAGTAGGCTAACTTTACTCAGTAAAGTCAAATGCTTTAGTTCACTTTACTTTATTAAAGTAAAATAAAATTAAAGTGCCACCCCTACTCAGATTCTTTAAATTCTGGAACACTGCATCCTTTCAGTAGAAGGTTGGCGGCGTTTGCGTCGCGTTAGCTTGTTATATAAATGCAGTATAGCAAGCGATAGACCAGGCATATCATGATGAAATCTCGGGTGTGGGTGTGGGTGTTGGTGTTAGTGTAGGAATTGTTTCTATCTTTTGTTTACTCACACCTACACTCACACCCCAATTCGGTATTATATCTGTTTCTCACTAGTTTTCGTTTTTTTCAAGTAGTTTTTATTTCTTTTATTGTATTATCCAAGAAACGAAGAGACATAAGAGTATCGGTAATAAGACAAAAAATGCAATGAAAAATTAATGCACCAAGTTTTGTTAAGGCTGGTTTTTTAGACAAGTGAACGAACATGTAAATGTACCTAATGATTAGAAATGTTCTCTTCAGTGACACGTGTGGGATGTTTAATGATGATGGTGATGATGCGCTGGTCCTCCACCTCTACTCATGCCACCAAAGGGACCTGCACCAAACCCTATCCCGCGTGTCCCAAAAGTTGTAGGTGATCGACCTGTTGGAGAATTTGCCATATGAGGATGACGATAGGGTGTTCCTGGTGCTCTGAGCCCGAGTAAACCAGTGCCGCTTGCGTGACGTGGAAACAAAAAATTTGACGAATTTTCTTCTTGTCTTCCTGTTGGTTGTCTCAAACGTCCACTCGATGAATGATCATTCAGTGTTAATGAACCATCTGTCTGTTCAGAAGGAGAAGCTGTCGAGCTTAGGTATACCTTACTGATACCTTCGCTAATAATAGGCAGAGCGGACTTGAAAAATGATTCCCAAACTCCATCTTCTTTCTTGATTGTGTCAGGATTGCGATCGCGAGCTTTAGCCCGCGTTTCCTCATTACGTTGTTGTTCTCGATGAGTAGCCACCAAAGCATCGCATTGTGTGCGAACTTGTTTTTCACGTTCTTCTGCCTGAAGTCGAGCGGCAAGAAGCGCATCCTGGTCCTATTATCAACAATATGAAGAAAAACCTAATGGATCTTGTTTTGCACACTTTCATCTTCCGTCAACTATCAATAGATATACTATGAGTTATAAAATTTGATTCCAAAATATCAAATCGCATAAAATAGAGTTGTCCTACTCTAAGACTATTCTTAAGTTCAATTAATTTTTGAAACACACGTGAAGAACTGTTTATTTTTTTACCTGTTGAGATTGCTTTTTCGATACATCAAGCTGTTGACTCAGGCGTTCCATTTCAAGTTGAGCTTCGGTAGCGCGTTGCTGAAACTGTTTTTTCATAAAAGATTATACAATGAAAGTTTATACACTAGCTGCGCACACTAGTACCTGATCAATTTGTCGTTGACGTCGTTCTTGTTCTTCCTTCTGTACTCGGAGCAGCTCTTCTTCCCGCTCTCTGTAAGCCTGTTCGGCTTTTCCTAACATTTCATTTGTATATACTCGTCCGCCATTTTCTTGAACCATGTGGTCCACTATGGACATGAACTCCCGCACTTTATTATCAAGTTGTTCCTTTGATGCCTCCGTCGTATCAATGGCCATACAACGACGATTACAAGCTTCAACGAGGCTAACAACCGAATCAGTCGATTGAGCGAGCCAGTTTTCAAGTGTGGCTGTTGAGTCATCTCTATGTATATTATCTTCACCAGTGAAAACAACGATGCAATAACGAATAACATCACCACCAAAGATATCATGAACAAGTTTCACTGTTTCTTCAGCCTCACGTGTGTATCGACCACCACCAGCTTTAATAACAATGATGAATGCATGCGGTCCAGGAGCACTGATACCCACTGCTTTACTTATTTCGTAGGCTACCGAAAATGGATCTTTGTCTGTATCAAACAATCCAGGTGTATCGATAACGACTAAATTTCGACCCTCAAATTCTCTTTTATCCATCTGACATTCTTGTGTCACCGAACCCATCGCACAACTTGTTTTGAATACTTTCGCACCTAACAAGACGTTGGCCAAGGCACTTTTGCCTAAACATGATACTATCAAAAGTTCTGCCGTGAAACCCTGTCCGAATTCCATGAATTCTGAGCTCTTCAGGAATTTGAAACTCAAACTTCGATAAAAAAAATAACTGATTGTTATCCATAGCTAAACAAAATCCAAGAAATTCAAATAGCTCAAGGAATCCAAAGTATTCCAAAAGATCTTGACGTTGGAAATACCCTATAGGCTCGAAGAACCCATGAAGTTTGGATATCGAATGAGTCCATGATACAAGTGTATCTGAAAGAACTTATATTATCCTATGACTGATACCAGCAAATCTTTGAAACCAAAGAAAAAGAATTCAAAGCGATATTACTGAGTTTCGGGATTACCGATTATTTCAACAGGACAATGGGAAAAACTCAAATATGTGGGTTCAAAATTCAATGTGTTCAATATATAACTTCCTTTATTAACTTGTGAAAGACATTGCTTTAAATGACTGCTCAATTAACTTGACAAAATTCTGAAACTTTCTATTCGTGCCCTATAAAAACCGCATCGTCAGAGTTAACCAGACCTAACCATCAGATAGTAATTTACATGTATTTGACAGTATATATTAATATGATGGAAGCTGAATAATGCTTGAAAATACAGCCCATGGATAATATTTCAAGCTATTCGAGTAATCGACCTGATATACAATCCTGCAGTGACAGTCTCAATCGTATCGTTATACTTGATCCCTTTCAACGCCCTCAACCTGACTCAAGTAATGTATCCCTCATATGCTTACCCCAACAATCACGCTTACCTTTCCACTAATTCATAACAAGTCTATCAATAGCTTCACAGTCAATACACTGGTTACCTCCAGTGTAACCCCATTATTCCGGGTGAGAGGCATTTCACAGGTGAGTCTGTCGATTATAACATTCTACTAGCACCAAAACAATCTTTGAAAAAAATACGGCAATAGATCTTTGTGATTCGACCATGCCTACGAATAGAAGCGTAGTCCGACATGGCCCGGTGGCATTTTCACGGCATCATCTCCTTGCGTGAGCCTCAATACGTGTTTTCATCTGCATTTTTTTCCTGTGACACTCTCAGTTAGTATGATGCTGTGTGCACCTATTTTGATGTGTGTTTGTGTTTCAGTGGCATCCTCAGCTAGGCAGACGACGTATGACCTCGATTTCGCAATAGTTTCACACAGTGAACTAATTATGTAAATTCAGCAAATGAAAGAATATGTATTGTAACTCACAGTTTTATTCTCTATAGATTAACACATCCCATTTCAGTACACAACTCCTGTTTATAACACGAAGTCAGTGATAGGTGTAAAATAGTGTCAAGGTACGTAGATGTTCAAAAAAGCAGTTTTTAGAAGGATATAAATTCACACCACATAAGTTCTCGCTGAAGCTGAATTGAATGCAAAATGTCTCCCAGAAGAAGCACTGAAAAATTTTCAATGTGATAAACAAAACCTTCTGCATGAAAGAAGACAATTAGGGAAAAGTTTCCAGCATATACCAAGAATAAAATATATAAACAGATGTATGATATTACATTAGATCGATTGGTTGTATATCTCCTGTAAAAATATTTAACCATCACATTAGTCTAGTTAACTACTCAAAGGCTGTTATCATATGTACAGCAGCGCCAGTACCTTAGCTATATCCAATATATTTTGTATCTACCCCATGTAAAAATTTTTGCTAATTTAACGAAACCTTATGATATGAAAATTCGTTAAGAATTTAACGATTTAACGATTAAAAATGTTACAATTTTGATCATGAAAACGCGTTAAAAGTGCGCAAAACTAACGCGTTTAAACGCGTTTTCAAATTCTAACGATCTTTTTTTCGTTAGATCAGTAAATTTTTAATGATTTTTTGACACGTGAATTTATCCAGAAATGCGTGAAAACGCGTTAAATACGAAAGCTGATTAATATGTTCTCCCTCACAATTTTTCATACATTCTTATTTACTGCAAGTATAATGAACTTCCTTCCATAATCAATATCTTGCTTAGTTTCACTCGTCTGAAGAGAAAAGTCCAGCTAATCAATTCAATATTGGATGTACTTTCTAATAAGATGCTTCAGAAAGTATTGTTATCACTATAAATATTTCGTAATAGGTAGCAAAACCAACGATGAAGTGCAATATATTTTTTTATTTTGTCGATATCTCGAAACTGAAAGTATTTATGGCTTTACTCGCCACAATTTTGCATTCTTGTATGTATCAGAAATGTATTTAATAGTCGACAGAAATGATAAGACTATTACTAGCTTAAAATCTAGGATATCGACAAAGTAAAAAAAATATTGTACAGTTTGACTTGTTTCACTATAAATTATGAAATATTTTTAGTGATAATAATGTTATCTTAAGTATCTTATTACAAAGTACATCTAATATTGAATTGATTAGCTGGATTTTTCTTCTCAGACGAGTAAAACTTTGCAAGATATTGATCATTGAAGAAATTTCATCATATTGGCAGTGAATGACAATGTATGAAAAATCCTGAGGAGTAATATATTCATTAGCTTGAACTGTGGAAAGACAGATTACACGAACTAATACGATTTAATTATCCCCTTCCTCTTGACTTAGTATACCAGCTTACATATTTAATAGAGATGAACCAGTCATATTTTTCATATTAGATCTAGATTCTATAAGCGAAAAACTTAACTCAGCTCAACTCAATAGCGTAAAAGGGAAATTTATATCAATACCTTTTTTTTATCATGTGGAACAGAAATGATGATGTACGAAGTACAGAATTACATTCCTTTAGACATAAAACCCATAGTAAATTTTAAAGAAGAAAAATGAAAGAGGATTACCTTTATCTAGGATTAATTCAAGTGGTTTTGCTAGCGATTAATACAAAGCTAAGATTTCTCTAAAGAAGAGTTCTGCTTAATCTGATAAAAAGCTTTTGATATCTGGCTTGATATAATTCACAGACACACTTGATATTTCGTAAATATAAGTCTTTCAAGATGATTTTTGTGTAATGTGCATAAACAAATATGTTACACAAAAAATTATGAATATTGTACGGATGAAAACGATTAGTAAATTGAATGATGCATAATTAAATGACATTCGTTAACAATTAAAATTTTCATTAAAACTCGTTAAAATATTTCACTCATGAAAACAGTTACTTGATTTAACGAGAATCAATCAGTCAAGTTTCGTGAAAAATACAGAAATTCATGAAAACGCGTCAATATGTTTAACGCATGAAAATGAATACCAAGTTTAACGATATTTAACATGTAAGATTGGTTAAAAATAAAAAAACTCAAGAAATATCGTTAAACTTCTTGACGCGTGAAAAGGAATCCAACGTTTAACGATATATAATGAGTTAGTTACAGTTAAAACGACAATCATGCGTGAAAAAGCGTAAAAAATCTAATGCATTTACACAAGTTTTCGGAATATAACGAAAGTTCATGAAATTTTCTTCGTGAAATTTCGTTAATTTGTCTCTTAACGCATTTTTTTGCGTTAATTTTAAGAATCATTTCGTTAAATACCTTTTTATTTTTACATGGGTACATGCATGATAATGTTGATAGTGTAGATATCAATGTATCAATTTTAGGGTACGTAGAGATCAGAGATGTCCATGGCGGCGCGATCGCTGCCGCCGTGGCGGTAGCGGTTGTTTTTTTCAAATAACCATCGTGGTGCGGTGCGGCAGCGGTCGTTTTTTTAACTAACCATCGTGGCAGCGGCAGATTTTTTTGGAGAACAGTGCAAAAATGCATAAATTCGAACAGAAATTCAAATATTTGCAAGTGCAAAACTATGATATTCAACGAATCTTATCAATTAGGAACAAAATTTCTAGTTCTGAACAGTCACAGATCGTAAAATTCATCACATTATTCTAACAATCATCGCGGCAGCGGTGTGGTCGCGGCACAGTTATTTTTGGGGGCGTCGCAGCAGCATCGCGGTAGGTTTTCTGTTTTTATCACCGCGGTGCGGCAGCGGCGCGTTAGCTTTTTTCTTTTATCGTCGCGGCGCGGCAGCGGTCAGTTTTCAACCGCGATGGACATCTCTGGTAGAGATATTGCAAATACAGAAATATACATCTTCAATATATCTAACATGTCCTATACTTCATATACCCCTGATATCTCAAACTCGGGACTTTGATCAACTACACCATAGCTTAAATGAATTTCTAGCGGATCCATGCAAGTCATCATATGCACCGAAAACCATTAAGATATCTTCTATATTTAACTATGTTCCGACTGCAATGCGAATCTATATCTTTCTGTGAGCCTCACACTGTTGTGTGTTCTACCGATTTCTTGAATGCTTTGAGTTCTTAGGGTTCCTGAGATTCCTTCAGTTTCAAGAGTTTATTTAGTCGCCAGACTTCCTTGGGTTCCTTGGATTCTGTTTAGCTATGGATGACGATCGTTTATTTATTTTTTTGTCGAAGTTTGTGTTTCGAATTGCTCAAGAGTTCAGAATTCACAGAATTTGGACACTGCTACGATCTAAAGTACAAACATTATCGTACTAAACTTTACTAAATAACTAAGTGTTAGTTACTATTCATCGTAATGGAGTTATCCATTGTGTATTGACACGGGCTAATACAAAGAAATTTATGAAAACACTGCCTTGACAAGTTATAATATTGGACACGTTTAATGCAGTGCTCGATCGATCAAAAAGTTTTCCTACCTTCACCAGTTCTTCCAATGAGTACTAGACGCATTTCTCGGTCCATCCGTGCGTCTAAAAGTCCATCGAATATTGAATGGACGTCAGACTTGCGCATCGATTGTGTAGCCAAGCAGCCACTTGCTTCGATATATGTGGACATTTTAATGAAGTACCTTGAATATCAGGAGACAAAATCTTTTGCGCTTGTATAAATCAGTTTCTCTTACACAATGTTGGACTATT